ATTATTATTATTATTATTACTATTACTATTACTATTGCTACTACTATTACTATTATTTTTATTTTTATCATCATTATTATCATTATTATCATTATTATTATTATTATTATTATCATTATTATTATTAAATGAAACTTTCCTTTCAGCTTGGAGGCCCAACATGGACAGTTCCACTAGGCCGAAGGGATGCAAGGACAGCAAGCCAAAGTGCAGCTAACTCCCAAATCCCATCCCCATTTTCAAGCCTAACCACACTCATCTCCATGTTCCAAGCCAAGGGGCTCACTGCTAGGGAGATGACGGCTCTATCAGGAGGCCACACTATAGGCTTTGCAAGGTGCTCCACATTTAGGACCCGGATTTATAACGAAACCAACATTGATGCGACTTTTGCCCGTACTCGACGGGCGACCTGCCCAGCTACTGGAGGCGACACCAATTTAGCACCACTTGATCAGACCCAAACCCAATTTGATAACAATTACTACCAAAACTTGGTCAATAGGAGAGGTTTGCTTCACTCTGATCAAGAGCTCTTCAATGGAGGCTCTCAGGATGCATTAGTGAGGACTTATAGCACCAATGGTGCTACCTTTAGCTCGGACTTTGCGAGTGCCATGGTGAATATGGGGAACATTAGTCCCCTCACAGGGACAAATGGTGAGATAAGGAACAATTGCAGGAGGATAAATTGATTACAATGGAAAACATCTAATAAGAGATGTGCTAAATGAAATAAATAAGCCGCCGGGCGATAGCAATAGCCAACATGTGGTCCGCAAGGTGCCACTAGTGCTCCGCTCTGTGGATCCGGCAAATAGAGTAGGCATCTGTGGAATCTCTCTCTTTCTCTGTTCTCAGATGAAGTGTTAATTATCTCTCTAGTTTTCTAATGTGCTTTTGGTATGTATGCACGAATAAGGACGGATTTTCTTGTTGAAGGGAAAGTACCCTAATATCACTTTCTTGATGCTCCAACAAAAAAAACCTGATGAATATTTGTATTACTATGAGTTTGTGTTTTCTTTTACTAGTTAGATAACTGTAAGTGCAATTCATTTCACGGACACACGCAAAGTATTTGATTTGGGAAGAATCTTGCATGGAAAAAGCATAATGGACAAGGTGCAAAGTTCAACTGGAAAGAGAAAATCGAAGAAAAACTGATGCCATAATAAGGTACAAGAAAATAAAACCGGCAACAAGCAACAAAATAAAAACAGCAGAATTTATGTGGTTCGTCACAGATGTAATTACATCCATGGGCACGACAAACCGAAATCTACTAAACCAATGAAAGTTACATCATGATTTCAAGTTCCATCATAGATTTTGGGACATGAAGTTAGCTCTCTAACCCTCGACATAACCCAGTCGAGCAAACCTTTTTAAGCCACTCTCCTGACCGATACCACATGTCGTTGTTTACGATGAAAAAACTGATAGATCTGCCGATGAAAATCTCTTGAATTTTAACACCTTAAACTAATTAAAAAGATGTAAATAAAGTGGTAGAGAAAGTGGGACATATCGAATTCAGATCTGATGCCAGATTTGCCCGAAAACGAGCAGATCTACTATTAGATATGTGGCAGAGCTAGCATGATTCAGAGCATCAAAATAAAATTTTTAAGATAAGTTAACAGATCAAAACTAAATAAAAGAAGCAAAACAGTAAAAAGAAGAAGAAAGAGAGAGGAAGAAATAATACCACACCGTGCCGGATGACCCGAGATTCCCAAGCCTTCGAGAGCTCGCCCGTATCAGAACCGGTCATCTTTGCCTCTCTAATTCGGATGTTGACCATCAGATCTCTGGTGTAAAGGATTAGATCTAGGGTTGTTGTGCCCTAATTCTAGTTTTGATCTAGGGTTTTTGCGCCCTAGGTCTAGGTTTTCTCGGTCTTGAGGGTTAGGACTTCAGTTGGGTAGGGTTTCTATCTTCTCTAGAGTTTTCAATCTAAATATTTTTCTAAAGCTGTTGGTCTTTCTCGAGGTCTTGAGGAAAATTTTCTTAGATTTCTAAGGGTTTTATGATCTCCAGAGTTTGAATATGACTTCTGAAATTTTTTCTAATTTTTTGGGATTTTTGGAGACTTTTTCTAAATTTTTAAGAAACTTCTAAGGCTTTTTCCTATTTTTAGGTAATTTTTTCAATTTCGAGAATTTCTAAGGTTTTTTTTGTCTTTTTTTTCTCTTCTTTTGGGTTAGGGAGAGGGGGTATTTATAATATTCAATTGGTGATTTTTCTAATTTTTTTGGAGTCTTTTCGGAATTTTTTAGATTTATCTTGAAGTTTTAGCCTTATCTAATTAAAGAAAACATATTTACTGCATCATCAGATGCGTTCACTGCATCATCAGCTCGCGTCTGGGCCCGTCGGGCCCGTTACAGCCCAGCCTGCGGCCCGTCAATTGGGTATCACAGGGACTAAATTATCATTTGTTATATCTTTTTATTCGTAGGTCTGATTCAAGCGATTCTTGGACCATTAGAAAGCTCTTGGGCTCTACTTCAAATTGACATAGGATTTGGGGTAATTAAATTGGGTCTACTAGGATAATGTGGTCCTAAGGGTTCAAAAAATCATAGAATATGTCAGATTTAAAATGGGATGTCTAAAGTTGCCCCTCTTTAGCACTCCTTGTCTTTCGAGGGACAGGTAAGTAGCAAAGAAGTAGACACTTTGGCATTCATTGTCCTTCGAGGGGCAGGTGAACGTCAAAGATAAAGCAGATATTTCAAATTTCTTCCTGAGGTCACGTGGTCAGGAGGCACACCAGCCATCCCTCCAAGTCATTGAGCTCACCCACCTACGGCATTTTCCTCCTAGGGTTTTCGACGTGAGATGTCAATGAGTTACACAAGCTTGAAACTCAAGTTGGATTTTCTAGCTATGCCACTTAACGTCAAAGGTTTTTGTTGTTTGAATTTTTAACCTTGGCATTTTCTTTGATCTCCTTAAGGTTTCCTAAGGCTTTCTATATGAAGAGACTTGTCTGGCTGAATCCGTAATGAGAGACGATGTAGCAACACGGTAATCGCGACAACACAGTAATCATCATATGCGGGTATCCAAGATCCTTCGTTTTTTTAAGAATTTTTTAGAATATTTTGAAAGTAGGGGGAGATTTGAAATAGAACCTGGAGCAAGGACAGGTTATGATTTTAACAAAAAAAATAAAGTTTTGAAAAACATAAGACATATAGCGAAAATTTTAAAAAGAGAAAGATATTTCAAAAAATAATGTTGGTTAGTAGTTTTAACTTCTGCAACCATAGAGTCCTCTAAGCAGTTTAACATGATGCAGTGATGGACCATACACTCGACCCTTTTACGTCAATACGGGGATAAATGGAATCCATCGAATAGGGTGGTTGTTCCCTAGGTACACCCGACCTTTTTGAGTCATACGGGGCTAGACGGTACCTACTTCGGCTCTTTTACGTTGTACGAGTTTGACATTTTTCTATCGAACAAGGTGGTTGTACCTTGGATACATCCGACCTTTCACATCATATGGGGATAAACGTTACCTACCTCAGCTCTCTTACGTCGCACGAGTTTGATATTTTTCATTGAAACAGGGTGGTTGTGCCCTGGATACACCTAACCTTTCACGTCATATGGGGCTAGACGATACATGTTTCAGCTCTTTTACGTTGTACAAATTTGACGTTTTTCTATTAAATAGAGTGGTTGTGCTAGGGATACACCCAACCTTTCATGTCATACGGGGCTGGATGGTCCTTGTCTCGGCTCTTTTACGTTGCACGAGTTTGACGTTTTTTCATTGAACAAGGTGGTTGTGCCCTGAATACACCCAATCTTTCACATCATACGGGGCTGGACGGTCCCTATCTTGGCTCTTTTACATCGCACGAGTTTGACGTTTTTCCTGTCTCGGCTCTTTAACATCGCACGAGTTTGACGGTTTTTCTGTCTCAGATTTTTAACGTCGCACGAGTTGGACTCTTTTTTTTTTTTTTGTCTCGGCTCTTTTATGTCGCACGAGTTTGACGTTTATCTTGTCTTGACTCTTTAACGTTGCACGAGTTTGACACTTATCCTATCTCGACTCTTTTACATCACATGAGTTTGACGTTTATCTTGTCTCAACTCTTTAACGTCGTACAAGTTTGACATCCTGTCTCTGCTCTTTTATGTCTCACGAATTTGACGTTTATCCTGTCTCGGCTCTTTTATGTCGCACAAGTTTGATGATTTTTGAATTAGATTTTGGGACATCGTACGCACACACGGGTGAGCCTGCCTCATTTCGCCTCAAGGGATCTAGTCGAGAAAAAAATACTCCTAGACTAACCAATATCGTCATTGGTGAGGTTCACCCATCTCCGATATGTGGTAGTTGGTGATTATACTCATGCAACCATGGAGTGTCTGGCTAGTTTCAAGCCTTCATAAATAGTGTACAAAGTTGGCTTCAAGAACGAGGCTAGATCGACTAATAGTTTAACCTCTTGTAGTGATGGAGGAAGTCCTTTCTAAAAGGGTTTTGAAAGTTGAGGGTTTTAACAATTACATTGAAAAAGCGATTTTAAAAAGGACAGACCTTACAGTTTTGCCACTTGTGGCCCCTTTGATGGTCATTTTCTTTATTATATCTTATCCAAAGATGATGAAAGGATTTCCTTGCGGGATCGTGAGACTCAAAAGTCTCAAAGTTATCTTTTTACCTTTGGAGATTTCATCATGCGCTTCGCGGGTCCATGATGAGTTCTCTATATTCTTGCTGAGCTTCTATCTTGGAGATGTCCCGATATTCTTCCAAGATTCGTCGAAGTCACTTTGGTTTTCCGTTCATATCACGCTCTCGCATCTTTCTGAGTTGGTTCTATTGGGAATCTGCAAGGTTTAGGAGGAGTCTTCGTCCTCAGGGTCTGTTTGTGCCGTATTGTTTGAACTTGCAAGTATTTGTTTGTAGTTGAGTGTTTTTTAATCAGAAGCTCCTTCTTGGAGTTTTTTTTTTTTTTTGTGATGCCATTCAGGTTTTCACCACTCTTTTGAGCCCGTTACAGGTAGTATTTACTGAGATACATCGCATTGATGGGTCGTTGAGCTCGCACCCCTCCTTATTCTTGAACTTGTTAAATTTGCCTGCGGGCACTCGGGTGACCATGAATGGCCCCACCCAATTAGGTTTGAACTTGTCTAAAGGGTGTGGGTTTGCATGAATGTGGAAGATTTTCTTGAGTACCATGTCCCCTTCCCTGAACTGTCAAGGAACAACTTTACTTTGGAATGCCCTCTCAATTCTACGCTGGTAAGCAACAATATTTTGTGTTGCTCGTAGTTGTCTTTCATCCAGATTAATGAGGGCAGCAATTGGTGCTTCGATCTTTTGTTCTTCATATGAATCTTTATGAATAAGTGCTAGGAGAGACGGTATCTCAACTTCAATGGGTAACACTACATCCATACTATACACCAATGAGTACGAGGTCATGCCAATAGGAGTCTTCTCAGTTGTCTGGTAGGCCCATAGCCTATCATTTAGCTTTTCATGCCAATCTTTGCCACTTTATATGATTTTGTCTATAATTCTGAGAAGTCTTTTGTTTGTAGCCTCTGCTTGTTCATTTCCTTGAGGGTAGTAAGGTGTGGAGAATTTCTGTGTTATCTCAAAATTTTTGCATACCTTAGAGACCTTTTCATTTTTTAGATTGGTTCCATTGTCAGTAATGATCGACTCAAGAACACCAAACGTGAATACAATATTGTTCTTTATGAAACGGGCAACATGTTGTCCCTCAATTTTGACAAATGATGCGACCTCTACCCATTTGGTGAAGTACTTCTTAGCCCTTAATATAAAATGGTGGTCGTTTGAGGCTTTCGGTGCGATCATTTCGATGATATCAAGACCCCACATGGCAAAGGGCCATACAGGTAATGTCGAGTTAAGTGGTACGGACGGTGCATGGATGAGGTCTCCATAAAGCTGACATTTGGGATACCTCTTTACAAACTTCCAACAATCTTCAGCCATGGTGGTCCAGTAATAGCCTTGGCGCGTGATTTTCTGAGCTAAGGCAGCTGCGCCAGA